GCCAGCATACAAAAGTAGACAGAGTTAAGCCAGCATACAAAAGTAGATAAAGCCAGCATACAACCCTCCGGCTTCGCCCGTTTACACCCAGCCTCACTCGAGACGCGCAGTACGTCGGAGAAAGCCGGCAGCCGCCCGTGAAATGGAGAGATTTTGGAATCGGCCTGCTGGAAAAAATCAGAGTGGACACCCGCTGAATTTGGGTCCTTGTGGAGTCTGCTCCCCTGCGCCATCAAACCGGAGGAATTTCAGCTGGTGGACAGAGAGCAGGATGGGATAAATAGCTCCAGGTCAGTTAAAAGGCGCCCGGGTAGAAACCAGGAGAAGGCAAGTTCTAGTTCTGCCTCAGGCCTTGAGGGAAGGTGGGTGACTTTGGGCCCATCACCCAGGAGACGGTGAGTTCTAGTTCCTCGATGGGTGTTCAAGCTGACTTGGGAGTTCTAGTTCCACAACGGGCATTAAAACCGACTGGGCGACTTTGGGCCAAGGAGACATGATAGATGGGGCTGTCCATGAGGTGTCCCCCCCCCAAAAAAGGAATGAAACTGGGAGGGAGTCACGTGATCCAGAGGGAAAAATGGAGGGAGGGGTCAAGCAGCCCCTCCAGCGCCAGGAACGGCGCCTGGGGCGAATTTCCCCAGATCTGGCTCATTTTCAACCGTCATTTTGCTGTTTCTGCAACGTGTTCTGTTTTCTTTGCTTCGGGGCAGACGGCCGGCCGCTGGAACGTAATCCCTTTTTCCGATGACGGAGAGAATAAAAGGGATTGTCCGTTAAACAAACACCCAGCGTGGCGCTATTGTCCTGGGCATCGTACACCGAACCCACCACCTCCTTCGATGAGCACAATTTTAGCAGCCGATTGCACAAGGGAACAAAAAATCGTGCAAAACAACACTTACCAAATGGATCGCTTTCGCACAAATGTGGAAAAACCCCAACTGAGGAATTAGTCCAACAAAAAATAACGGAATATGCTCACGTTAAAAACGAAAAAGAGGGTTCTCAGTTAATGGTATGAATGGATAGCGAATAGATATAAGAATTAAGATGTGAAGATTAACTGTGACGTTAAGAACATGATTTGTAAATATGTAAAACATATATAAGATAGAATCAGTTTACTGACAAAGATAACAGTTATTGATAGTTGTATATTAAATGTATTAAGACTTATACGTTCACAATATTTGTTGATGTCAAAACGCTGTTGAAAATGCGATGATGATTTGAGTTGTATTGGTGGAAAACACAATAAAAATCTACTTAAAAACAACGAACGGCTCGCTTCAAAAGAGAAATTTGGTGCTCCGCTCTGGTCAGAAGTCAAGGACTTTGTCAGTAACGAACTAGGGGGTGTAATATGTCTATGCGTTTTTGTGTCCTTTTTATGTATATTTTTTAAACCTCTCGCTTCTGTAAAAAAACCTTTTTTCGGAGTTTCGTGTTTTAATAGAAATAAAATAAAATAAAAGTTCAAAATAAAAAAAAGAGAGAGAGTTAAGATTTTCAATCTTGATTTCACAGCCTTCCAAAGCCGACGTGGACAGTCAGATACCCACCAGGTTTGTGCAAAATGTGTTTTAATTTGAACATCGCGATGAAAAGAAAAAAAAAAGGAAGAAAAGGTCATCGGAGAAGGGAGGGACGCGCATTTCGCCAAGGGGAGGCACCACGCCGGCTGAAAGGATTCCCGGAGACCAATCCTTCCAGAGGAAGAATTCATGGGCAACGATGCTCTCTCCTCTGCAGATACCTCTTAACTTTTAATTTCCCAGCACCAGAAACGGTGTAGTTGTAATCCGAGGTGACGTATGGGGTCTCCCCATCGGTCTTGGCCTGGAAACAGAGAAAGGAGGTGTGGAGAGAAGGGAGTAGACGCTATTACGGGACACTCGTCCTTAAGGAGATGCCTCTGAAATTCCAGGAGATGTGGGAGTATCAAACGGTGCTTTGGAGCCTTGGGGAACAATTTTATCTGGCAGGGAAGAGGTGTTGGGTGGGCCGCTATGGGGCAGCTTGTGTCCCCCCCACCCCCAAGGCTACTGACCATCTCAATGCAATGATCTGTAAGAATCAAGGAGAGAAGCAACCTAGAATTTAGGAGAAACATCCTTAACAGGGAGAACAATTAACCTGTGGAACTGCTTGCCACCAGAAGTTGTGGCTGCTCCAACCCTGGAGGCTTTTAAGAAGAGATTCGGCCTAGGGTCTCCTGCCTGAGCAGGGGGTGGGACTAGAGGACCTCCAAGGTCCCTTCCAGCTCTGTGATTCTAGGTTCTGAGATAGATAAGATACATGACAGAAAGACAGCCGGACGGACGGACGGAAGGGCCTCCAGAACTTGAGTGCGCCATCATTGGGGGTTTTCAAGAAAAGACTGGACAACCATTTGACCCGGAAGATATAAGGGTTCCTGCTTGACTAGGGGGCTGGACTAGAGGATCTCCAAGGTCCCTTCGAACTCCGTTGTTAACCACAGAACACGAGAGCAGCCTTCCAGGATCTCTGGGGCTGCCCCAAAGAAGAACGGGGGTCAAGCTCTTCTCCAAAGCCCCCGAAGGCAAGAGAAGAAACCAGGGATGGAAACTTCTCAAGGAGAGAAGCAACTCGGAATGAAGGAGAAACTCCCCGACAAAACCCCTTAATGACCATTTGATTCACTTAATGACCAGAGGGATTTGCTTAACCACCGCAGGAGAAAAAAGGTCATAAAATTGGGTGCAGCTCTAACAACCTCTTTGCAGTGCAGCAGTGGGAATGAGGACCGCGGTTTTTCCCCGAGAAGCACAAACTGGCACCGTGCGAGACGCCTCCTCCTCCTCGTACGGGATCCTGTGTCCTAAGACCGCAACCCCCCCGCCACCCTCCCCTTCAGGCCTCCTCCTAAATCTATCCTCAATATTTGGGATCCTCAACATTCTACCCCCTTGCTTGGATCTTCTGCATGGCTGCGTGTTGGATGTTTTGAGCTCCAACCCCGCCAGCCAGCCGGCCAAGGAGCAGCGCCCTACCGTGCGTAACGAAAGCGCAGCGAGAGGGATTAAAAGAGATCAGCAACAGCGAGCGGGGATTAAAAGAGATCGGCCCTTTGCTGCCTGTTGACGTTTACCCAAGCGGTCCAGCGTCCACTTACTTGGTTCAGAAAGATGCAGTTGGGGACGGCGACGTCGCCGATCAGCAAACAGTTCACGTGGCGTAAGCTCTCCGGAGCCAACGGCGTCAGGATGTAGTAAAGCTTCTTGGTCATGTCCACCCCTCGGACAATCCCTGTTTTAAAAAGAAATTAAGATTTGGGGCTTTCGTCCTCTGGTTATTCAGCAAAGGATGCGGTTAGATCCAAAACGGGGTCTTTTTTAAAAAAAAAAAAAACGACGCAGAAATTGTCCCAACTATTATGGAGATTTTAAGACTGAATTTAAGAGCTGCAAAACTCGGAAATAAAGGGCGGATTAGGGCCAAACGATCACCGGTTCAAATCCTACCCCTTGCAACCAGGCCCACTTACCGAAGCCCAGGCAGTCGCAGAGGGGCGTCTGAGACAAAACCACCACTGGCCCCTCTGAATTACACGGGAGCCGATCCGGCAAGTGGCACAGGCCGACCCAACTGGCGTTGAGGGAGCACAAGACGTAGGTGGGGGCCACGTCCACGTGGATCACCTTGAGGGCAACGGCGTTGAAGGGCACCTGGGAGAGGGAAACGGGGGGGGCGGGAGAGACAGGACAATTCGGTATTTTTTGCCTGGGTGACGGGCAAATTTACCTCATTGAGCCGCGGCCAAACTAGTTATCTGAATTTAGGGTAGGGAGGAGAAGCGAGAAGGGAGGGAGATCTTCAGGTGTTCAGGAAGTCCCTCAGGTAGCAGAGATGGAGGAGGAGGGATTTAGTTTTAGGGAGATGTTAGCCAGGTAAAGGAAATTGCACAGGGATATTGCTGAAAAGAGAGTATTTGTAGCTCAGAAAAAGGAGGAGGGGAAGAGGAAGAAGAGGAGGAAGAGGAGGATGGGAGGAAGAAGAAAAAGGAGGATGGGAGGAGGAGAATGACTGTGGGGTCCTTGGTGCTCTCTGAGCTGGGTGGCTTTCTTGCAGGCGTTTCATGACCCAACTAGGTAACATCATCAGTGCTAGAAGGGAGGGAGGTTATAAGCACTTTTTAACTTTCTTGGGATTAAAACGTTGTAGGAGCCACCGGGAGTCCTTTGCTCAGGTTAACGCAAGGGAGCCTCCATTCCCTACACCTGCCCGTTCTCCCCAGGTAGGGCCTCACCTGATAGGGCACCAGGCTGGCCAGGGGGACCACCGGTTCCAGGCCGGGGGGCTGTAGTTGGCTCAGGTAGCCCACCATAGTCAGGTTCCTCAGGGTACTGCTGTGCGTTCGCCTGCAAGGACCAAAGCGGAGGTCAACGACGGGGGTCCTCGACTTATGACCCGGGAGTTTCCGAAGCTAAGTGAGACCTCCATTAGGGTTGACCTTTCTTCCGCTGTTGTTCAGTTGGCCCCGCCCGGTGATCGCAAAAAACGGGCAATCACGTAACTCCGGCACGCTGAGATCATCGTAAATACGAGTCGTTTGTGCCAAGCATCCGAATCTGGATCGTGTGACCACTGGGATGCTGCGACGGTTGTTAAGTGTGGGACACGGTACTATGTCGCTAAACGGACGGTCACAACCCGAGGAGCCCCTGTTATCAGTTTTTCTGAGATGTACGGGAGGGTAGAAGGCGAAATGCTTCTCCATCTCATAGGGGCAGCGAGACAACGGCAGACAGCTCTCTTCTTACGACCGCAACGGCCTTTCCCCTTGTCGTTAAGTGTGAAAAACAGTTCATAAAATCACTTCCTCCCCCCCACCCCCAGGACTGTTTTTCTCACACTTAACAACATTGGAAATTCTAGTCCCCATTTGCTTTTTGGGTCACTGAACGAATGGCTGTAAGTGGAGGACCTTGTTCCCTTATAAATTTAATCAAGAAAATATTGAGCCGGGGCAGGGCAGCCGGAAACAAACCCCCCTATTCATATTCCGAATTCTTTTCTTTTTTTTATTTCTCCTGTCTTTCCCTGCTACGTACCCAATGCCGGGGAGTCCGGCGCCCGGAAAGTTTGCCTGGACACACAGCAACTGATGGCTAGGCTGTGGAGCATGGGTGCCTTGCCAGCTTCCGCCGGGGTGTTTCCTTTTGAGGGAGGGCTTCCCCCGGGTGTGCAGGCCGGCGGCGGTGTGGATGTAGTCGGCCGAAAGCAGAGGCAGCTCTTCTAAGTCCTTGGCACTCAGCTGGACGACGTGGGTGGGCGACAGCGAGCGGATGACGTCGATCAGCAGCAGCAGGCCGGCCCCTGGGAGGCGGGGTGGGTGGGGGGGAAGGAGGACCAGAGTGAGATGGAAACCACCCACCGCGATGGATCACCCACCGCCAGGGTCTTGCTTGGCCCATCTCCTGCCTCTCAGCTGGGTGGTTTACTTGTGGATGTTTCGCGACCTGGCTAGGGTACATCATCAGTGCTAGAAGGGAGTGGGGTTTGTAGAAAGGAGGAGGAGGAAGAAGAGGAGGAAGAGGAAGAATGCGGCAGCAGAAGCAGAAGAGAAAAAGAAGAAAGAAAAAAGAAAGGAGGAAGAAGGAAGAAGGAAAGAAGGAAGGAAGGAAGGAAGGAAGGAAGGAAGAAAGAAAGAAAGAAAGAAAGAAAGAAAGAAAGAAAGAAAGAAAGAAAGAAAGAAAGAAAGAAAGAAAGAAAGAAAAGAAAAGAAAAGAGGAAGAGGAGGAGGAGGAGGAGGAGGAGGAGGAGGAGGAGGAGGACGAAGACTGGCTTAGCAGACTGCCACCTACCTTTCATCCACCCCATGGTGTTGATCAGCAGAGGGACGTCTCTCGCGTAGCCCCCAAAGACATATTTCAGCGTGTCGAGGTAGCGCTCCGTGTCGCGCTCGCAGGAGATGTCCCCATAGAAGGCCATTTTGCGAGGGGGCCGCTGTTGGGCGAATGGCGGGCCTGAAAATTGCAGCAGTCCGAGGGTCAATTCCATAGATTTCGGAGCCAGTGGGAAGGTAAACTCGAGATAAACCCCCTCTGACTTCCCCCCCCCCCTTTTTTTAAAATTCCCATTGAGGGTTTTCTGCAGGTTAAGTCCTCGGCTGAACGGCCGCGATCGAGGCCCAGGGCTTTTGTTGCTAAGCGAGGCTGTTGTTGAACCTCGTCCCGTTTTATGACTTTTCAGTAGAACAAAAGCAGTTGTTAAGTGAATCTGGCAGTCGGTTAAGCGAACCTGCGTTGATTTGGCTGGTTGGAAGCCGGCTGGGAGATGGTAGCTAAAGAAGGGCCGCGATTTGCTTAAGTTGTGAGGTACAAAAGATGGTAAAATCAGGTGAAATTTATCTATTCTCTCTCCTCTCTTTTGTTCTCTTTCTTTTTCTCTGTATCCCTCTCTATTTCTGTCTCATCTTTCTCTCTCTTTCTCCTGTCTCTCTCTCTCTCTCGTTCTCTGTCTTTCTGTCACTGTCTCTTTGTCTCTTTCACTTTGTGTCCCTATTTCTCTCTCTCTTTCTATCTCTCTCTGTCTCTTTCTGTCGGTCTCTCTCTCTCGTTCTCTTTCTCTGTCTTTGCGTCCGTATTTCTCTCTCTTTCTGTCTCTGTCGCTCTGTCTCTCTCTCTTTCTCTGTGTCCCTATTTCTCTCTGTGTCTCTCTCTCTCTCGTCTCTTTCCGTCTGTCTGTCTCTTTCTCTCCTTTACTGTCTTTTCCCCCTCTCTTAATAACCAACCTGCTTAGCAACAGAAATTGTGGGTCCCCCTGTGGTCTTAAGTCGAGAACTATCTGCAGACAGCCACGGGGTGGTTTATTTTGTTCCTCCTTTTACCTCTACCGCTCGTCCTCCTCCTCATCTCAAAAGCTCCTCTGGCTGTTTTTGCAAAGAGGGCGGGGTTTTTTGTTTTTAAAGCTTTTTTTAAAAAAAGATCCCGCAAGGCACCTACCCAAAAGGGGCTCCCGCACATTGACCAGGGAAATGCACCCTGGTGGGTTGAACTCTGGCTGCCCCAAATCGCATTCCAGGTATTCGAGGCAGGGAAGGCTGGAATTTAAAAGGGGAGAAAAAACAGTGAAGAGAAAAAACGGAACGCAAAACAAACAACAGACCGAGATTAAGGCAGCCGGGGGGACGGGGGACGGGGGGAGATCCCTCCCCCGCTTACTGGTTTAGTAAAAGATTCATCAGGTATCTGTTAAACGTGGACTTTCCGGTGCTTTTCGGGCCGCAAACTAAGATAACCGGGCAGCCTTCGTCTTCCACTAAAAAAAAAGCAAGCAAGCAAAGAGCCTGGATGAGATTTGGGGGGGCGAAGATTCAAGAATTCAGCCCGGGAAGGGAATCCAGAGCACAGGGAATCTCTGGGGATCCACCAGCAGGAGTTGGAAGTCAGTGTTTCCCCCACCCCTTTTTCTCTGCACTTTTTCCCTCCTTCCTCTTTCGTTCCCGTTTTCCTCCTATTTTCTTTTGGGGTTTCTACATTTTGCTCAATTAATTAACCCATATTTGACCAGAAGTCACCGCCCCCGAGAGAAAGACCTGCTCCTAAAGACAATCCCGCTCCCGCTGTCCCTGAGCTACCCACCCTGGCAAGCCCGGACCAGCTCCCCGATGGCCGAATCCATGCTTTCGGATATCCGCAGGCCGCTGCTGGGCTCCAGCCGCACCAGGCCGGCCGATGCCAGCACGGTATCCTCTGGAATGAAAGGGGGAATACGTTGCTTCTAGAGAGGGAAAGAGAGGAGGGGGATTAGCCGAAAGGGACCTGCAAGGGGGGCCGGGGAGGAGGTGAAAGGGACCCCGAGGCAAAACTCAAGAGGAAGGCATGCTGGCGTTTTGCTCCTCTGCCCAGAGCAACGGTCACTCCAGACACAATCTTTCTCCTTCCTTCGTTTGGAATAATACCTTTATACCTTTATTATCATTGCATCCCACGAATACAATGAAACTTGAAAGAGGCTACAACACAGTGCCCCAAACACCACATCACAATCACACTGCAAGAGTATTTAAAAATTAAAATAATTAAAATAATCATAATTAAAAACCTAGTCTAAAATCTATCCTTCCTTCCTTTTTCCCTTCCTTCCTTCCCTCCCCTTCCGTTTATCAATTTCTGCAGCAGGTCACCTCAGTCTGTCACTGAGGGATTTACAAATTATACAGACACATACAAATCTACACACATCATTCATTCATACGCGTACAACGTTACGTCTAAAACAATATGCCAAAAGTGGTTTTTCCAAAAGGCAAATTGAACTTTCTTGCTATTTCTCCTCCTCCTTTTTAGGAAAAGGTTTTGCCTCTCAGCCAAGAAGCTTCTTCGGTTCTTCAGTGAACTTTGCTTAAAGCCACCCTTCGAAATTGTTGCAACAGCAACTGAAGACTTAGCTGTCTTTAGGCCACCCTGGGACTCACTTTCGGTCTGAAGATCTTGGCGAATTCCGGCTGGCTGAGAATGAACTTGGCCTCCGGCGTGTCCAGCTGTTCCAGCAAGAGGAGGGAGCAGCCTGGCCCAAAGTTTTTGAGCAGCTGGCCTCTGGCCTCTGAAAAAGAACGAAGGGAAAACCGATTTATTTTCATTTACTCATTCAATTGATTTGCTCACCAAAAGGCAACTCTACGTTCTGCTGTTAGAATTGCATATACAGCCAGCCGGGTCTAGTGGTTGAGACAAGGGCTAGACACTAGGGGGTGGTGAGTTCTAGTTTCTCTCGAGGCACGAAAGGCGGCTGGGTGTCTTTCCGCCAGCCTCTCTCTCTTTCAGCCCAGCCCAACACGCAGGATCGTTGTTAAGCGGGAAACAGGAGGACGAAGGCGTGCCGGATATCTTCTCCACCTGCGGTTATTTCGTCCACCCAGTGAAGGTGTGACACGGAAGAGCAAAGAAGCCCAACGTGAAACCAACCTGGTCACCTGGCGCTCCTTACCCTGGGGCACAAAGTGAGCTCGCAGGACGGCTCTGGCCTCCACTTTCATCTCCTTCTCTGATTTTTCCGGGTCCCTGAGGCCGTTGGTGGCTTCGATGGTGAGGGCGCAGTAGGTGTGGGGGGAATAGAGGTCGTAAGGGGGCTGGTCCGGAGCGATGGTGAACCCCAAAACCCGCACGGATCCATACAGGCACGTCAGGCGACACTTCCCAGCAAAGGTCAGAGTCTGGAGAGGAAAAACAGAGCGAGGTTGGAAAGAGACGCATGATGCGGGCGTTCCCCGACTTACGACGGTTCGTTGAGCGACCCAAGGTTACGACGACGGCTTGAAACAAGCGACTTTGGATTGTTTTTCACACTTAACGACCCCTGCGCGTCCCTGTGGATCAAAACTGGGGCTCTCGGCCACGGATTCAGACTTACGACGGTCGTGGTGTCTCGGGGGGGGGTGTCCCATTTTTGCGACCTTCCCAAATGAGCAAAGTCAGCAGGGAAGCCAGATCCCCTTAAGAAACCCCGTTGCTAACTTTAAAAAACAGCGGCAATTCACTTAACGCCCAAGGTCGTAAAATGGGCAAAACTCACTTAACAACCGTTTTGCTTGGCCATGGGAATTTTGGGGCTCTCTTGAGGACTGCCTGTATTTGGGATTTAGGCGGGGGGGGGGGGGGGCCAAGCCCAGAAATGACACCTAAAGCCCCCCCAAAAGGGGAGGAGCCCCCCAAAGATCCACCCACAGCGAACTGCCATTCAAATAGCAGCCAGACGCCTAAGCAGCATGTAAACACACGCTAGGCCCCGCCCCCTAAGAAAATTTACATAACCCCTCCCGTTTCGTTTGCATAGCCCCGCCCACACCCACTTCCTTCGCAGGGAGCAGCACCACCGCGCGGCCATCGTGGGCATCGGCGTAGGTAGCCGGCTCAGCCGGGAGCTCCAGCGGAGGCGGGGTTTCTTGGCGAGGTGCCCCGTTGTGGAGCCGCTTCAGGCCGGCCGAGCGGCGGCGGCGGCGACCCATCCGAGCCTCGCCGGAGCAACGAAGAGGTCTCCACAGCGACGGTGCAGCCGTGGTCTCGCGAAATCTCGAGGACTCTCGCGAGAGGACGGCCCGCCACGCCTTCTCCGCCCTCCTCCTCCTCCTTTGGTGCTCATAGAGCTGCGAAAGTGTAGATGAGCCCCTTCTTCAGTAGGTTTCCATCTTCCGGGAATGTTTTAGCGAGTTGAATTAAAAGGAAGCCCCCCCGCCCCCCAACGATATGCAAAGAGTAAAATGAAGATTATTGGTTTATTTTTTTAGACGATGCGAGGGGGAAACCCTTTCCTAAATATTCATTTGCCCCCTTGCAGTTCCAATTCAAGGAGATGAAATCACACAGAGGAGGCTATCAGAGACTTCTGAGGATGGGTGGGCTTCGGCTCCCAGAATTCCCCTCCTTAAGCAAAGCTGCTGCAGAAATTTAAGGCTTATTTTAAGAGGGGTAGACTTCAGCACAAATTCTACTGTTGAAATCCATTTATCTCAAAAACAGATTAAAAATGCTATGTTATTTTTTTAAAAAAATAAATAAGAGGGCAAAAGCCACGCCTCTCTCTAAATCAGTCCCTCCTCCCCTGGGATCACCAGTCCCATTCACGGGCTGGCTGGGAAGCATGTGCTACGTGGTGCACCGCCTCCCTCTCTCTCTCTCTCTCTCCCTCCCCCGCACGTGGCCCGGGGGGGCGTGGCCGTTGGGGGGGGCGTGGCCCGCCCGTAATTAGCATACCGCGCCCCTCCGGTGGTGACGTCACGCGTGTCTCTGCCCGGGCCAAGATGGCGGCGATCCGATCCTCTTGCGAGGTGAGCCCGGGGCGCCTGGGGTGGAGGTTGCGGGGCTCTTTACTTGGCTGAAAGGGCTGGGAAGGGGGCAGGCAGATCCTTTTTGTGCCGGGCTGGAGATGATGGGGGGGCATCCCTGCAGGCAGGGCTGGTTTGCAGTAAGAAGGGGTGGGACTCTAGGACCCATAAGGCTGTGCTGGCCCTTGCACGCCCATTGAACTAGGACTACCTTTGCAAAGACTGACACACGCACACACCCCAGGGCGAGCTGGAGTTGCACCGAGGTTGGTGGGGGGTGGGACTCCAAGACCCATGCGCCCCTTCCGGCCCTTGCATACCTTTTGTACGCTCATTGCATGCCCCTTGAACGAGGAACCACCCCCCTTTGCAAAGACACCCCCCCCCCCAAGGCCGAGCCCGAGTTGTACTAAAGTTGGTGCGGGTGGGACTCCAAAACCCATGCACTTCTTCCGGCCCCTGGGCAGCATTGCATACCATTTGCACATTCGTTGCACCCCCGTTGCATGGGAACTCTCTTCCTGCCTTTGCAAAGACATTTATCTTGGTGCAAACGCTCTCAGTGCACATAAAAGAAAAGAGACATTCGTCAAGAGTCAAGAATCATCAGGCACTTTGTAAATAGTTGGACCGTGTTGAGGGAATTATGTTTTTTAGTAACGCTGCCGCCCCTCCTTTCTCTCCCAGCGTGCCATGGAGGGGGCCTTTGCCCAGCACAGCGTGCGAATCCTTCAAGAGCTCAACCGCCAGCGCCAGAAGGGCCAGTTTTGCGATGCCACCCTGGCCGTGGGCAGCCTGGTCTTCAAAGCCCACTGGAGCGTCCTGGCCTGCTGCAGCTCCTTCTTCCAAACCACGTACGGTGCCGATGGTGGCGCCTCCCGCAAAGTCACCCTCCCGGAGACCTTCATGGAGGCCTTCACCCTCCTCCTTGACTTCTTCTACACCGGCCACTTGGCCGTCACCCCGGACAACCGGGACCGGCTGCTGGAGACGGCCAAGGAGCTCTGCGTCCCTGAGGCCATCCAGCTGTGCCAGGAGTTCCCATCCGGCCCCTCGCAGAGCGGCCAAGTTCCCGTCGACCGAGATCCCAACGCCACTCCGCCGGCGGAGGAGCCGACTGGCGAGGCTGAGCCTCCTGGCCCGCCGGACGTGGAAAGTCCCCGGATCCGGGGCATCAAAGGAGCTCAGGGGCCCCCAGACGGCCCCGGCCTCCCTCGGGGGAAGTTGAAAAGGCTCCCCAAAACAAACGTTGTAAGCCGCCTGGGCGACGTAAAGGATACCCCGGAATGTAAGGAACTTAAACGGCCCCTGAAAAACGAAGCCGCCGAGGACGCGGGCGCCAGTCACGAGGTGGCGTGCGGAGTAACGGTGCTCTCTAGGAATTGCCCTTGTCTGCTCCTGACCCAGAAAACCAGGGGGGAGGGTGAAGGGGGGGAAGGAGAGGGAGGGGAGAAGGTGCGGGGGTCTTGGAAAGTCATTAGCAGTTTGCCGCAGGTTTGGAGAGTGGGGAATTTGGGGTGCCACCTGCCTATTTTTTTTAAAAAAAATGTTTGGACTCGTCAAGGGACCAGCCCTCATTGAGGTCCTGGGACAATCTAGTATTCCACAAGTAGCCGTGTTCTTCCTTCCCAGCAGGAGACCCCAGAGCTCCTGGGATCGAGCGATCTCCCTTCTGAGGATCTCAGTGGAGGAAGGGAAAAAGGTGACACGGATGAAGATTACGTCCCTGGTCAGGAGAGCGCCCGGGCGAGAAAAAGACCGTCCTTAACCAGAGCCTCTCGCAGCAGCTCCAAAAAACCCGGAAACGGGCACAATCACAAGGCTGCGGCCCTCAGACCCCGGCGAGGCACGGCAGAACCGGTTGAATGTCCCACCTGCCATAAGTCTTTCCTGAGCAAATATTACCTGAAGGTCCACAACAGGTTAAGTTTGGGGTGTCTGGGGAGGAAGGGAGGAGGAAGAGGAGGCTTCTGGGAACCTGTAGAAGGGAAGTGGGGGGTCTTTGCTCTCGTTGGGTGGTTCTCCTGTGTTGCTGGCTGCTTGGGCTGGAGATGCACTGGCCTGTTTGAGGTATTGCTATCTGTGCTTTGTGAAGCCACGTTCCCTGGAATGACCACCAATGTCCGACTTTCCTCACTGGAAATGACCAGTGATCAACCTCACTTCTTGGAATGACCATTGATGAGTCAGTCTTCTAGGAAAGACTGTCTTCAATCTCCTTGGTCAATCTCATTCCCTGGAATGACCAGTGCTCAGTGTTATTCCCTGGAATGACCAATGGTCAACCTCGCTCCCTGGAATGAGCAAAGCCCGACGTTGCTAATTCGACCCCCTTTTATTTTATTTTTTATATTTTCCTCCATCCCTTGCAGGAAGCACACGGGGGAGAAGCCGTTTGAATGTTCCAAGTGCGGGAAGTGCTACTTCCGGAAGGAAAACCTGCTGGATCACGAAGCCAGGAACTGCGTGAACCGGTCAGAGCAGGTATTCCAAACGGCAGCTCCTTCCCGGTTGGAGAGTTAGGAGGGTCGCCGACTTTGGGGAGCCACCAATTTGGGGGCCCCCGTAGTTGCGTGGGTAGGAAGCCCAACCGTTGGCCAAGTCATCCTCTTAGAAAAAGAAAGCTGGCCTTGGGTTATTTCAAAGCCGGTCTCGGAAGTTCTCCAGAACCTGCTAAGAGGAAACCAGCTGTTTCACACGGTTGGGAAGGTTGGTGGAGTAAGATGGAAGATGCCAACTCGTAAAGCATCCCTGGCCTCCTTTTGAGTTGCCTTAGGGAGGGAGGAGGAAAACCCTGGAGGAGCAGCAAGGGAATCAAAAACCAGAAGTACATTCCATGCGTAGCTTACCGAGGCTGTCTCCCTGGTTACCGATCCGGTTGGAGGGGCGTAGTCCCCAGAGTCTCGGTTGGAGAATGTGACTTATGACGCACCAGTCATGAAGGTGCTTCGTTGGAGAATGTGATTCATGACGCACCTCCAGTTGGAGAATGTGATTCATGACGCGCCCTGGGAGGAAGGGGGAAACAGGGTCATAGGTGGGCAGTCAATTACATGGGGCAGAGCCGGCTGCCCTTGGGAAAAGTGCTGATGTGCTGCTCCTAATAAATCATTGGGTTTCTTTTGAAGTTTGGCTCGGCGCTCATGACTTGATTAGGGCATCCTTCGGAACCCCGGCAGAAGGCTTGTTCGGGGTTCCAGCTCGACTCTACCTCTCTTGTCTCCCCCTCCCCTCCTGCCAGGTGCACACCTGCTCTGTCTGTCAAGAGGTCTTCAAGAAGCGGGTTGAACTCCGCCTGCACATGGTCAGCCACACGGGCGAAATGCCTTACAAGGTGAGCCAGCCTGCCTTGCCCGTGAGCGTTGCTGGGCGCAAGCGGGGTGACAGGTGGCCACGCTGAGGAATTGCTTCCCCAGGCACGGCAACCCACGCTGCCCGGCCGTTACCGCTGTAGGTGAAAACGGACGCGTGTCTTGCAGAGTCCAGCTGGGTGCGTGTCTTGCATTCTGCTGGGAAAAGCCGGGAATTGCCAAACGTGACCCAATTGAAGCGTGCCAGGGAAGGGGGAGGAGAACCAGCTCCAGCCCTCCCCCTGTCCCCTCCCTCTGTTGTGGGGGGTGGGGGCACCTTGGCACTGAGCGGGGCCTGTCCTGTTTTGCAGTGCTGTTCCTGCATCCAGCAATTCATGCAGAAGAAAGAACTGCAAAGCCACCTCATCAAGTCGCACGGGGCCCCCAAGCCCCACGCGGTGAGCAAGCGCCAGCGGGGTGTCACAAGCCCCCTGAGACTTGGCAGGAGGAAGGGAGGGTCCCCCGCCCGCCCCCCCAACCACACCCTCCTCACCCCTCCCCATCCCTTCTCCTCCAGTGCTCCTCCTGCCCCAAATGCTTCCTCTCCCGCACGGAGCTGAGCTTCCACGAAGCCTTCAAGCACCGGGGCGAGAAGCTCTTCGTCTGCGAGGAGTGCGGCCACCGGGCCTCCAGCCGGAACGGCTTGCAAATGCACGTCAAGGCCAAGCACAGGCAGGTGCCGGCGGGGAAGGGCGGGCCCGCCGGGCTGCGGGGAAGGGCGAGCTTTGGCTTGCTGCGGCCTATCTGACGGGGGCGCTGCCTCCTCCCGCCAGGAACGAGCGGCCGCACGTCTGCGAGTTCTGCCAGCACGCCTTCACCCAGAAAGCCAACCTCAACATGCACCTCCGGACCCACACGGGCGAGAAACCCTTCCAGTGTCACCTCTGCGGGAAAACCTTCCGCACACAAGGTACGGAGGGACGTCCCGGGTTTCCCCGAAAATAAGACCCCTAAGAGATTTATCGGGTCGTTAAAAGGAGACGATGAACCAGGATCAGGTGCGCGTGTGTGTGTGTGGGGGCTTCTCCCCCACCCGTGCCGGGAAGGACGCCCAAGAGATCGGTCACAGGGTTGAGACAAAGCCACGCCCCGCAGGTTCATCTATTGCCTTGATTTCTGTCCTCGTCCGCAGCGAGCCTGGATAAGCACAACCGGACCCACACGGGCGAGCGCCCCTTCAGCTGCGAGTTTTGTGCCCAGCGGTTCACTGAGCGGGGTCCGCTCCTCCGGCACGTGGCCAGCCGCCACCAGGAAGGACGGCCACATTTCTGCCAGATCTGCGGGAAAACGTTCAAAGGTAAACGGCTGGAGCGGGGAAACCCATGCTGCGTTTCTCCCGCGCTGCAAAGGCAGAAACTCACCTGGTGGCACCCTTTCCTTGAGGGGGGGCGGAAGAGGAGCAGGGAAGGCCTGTCTGACTCCAGACCCTGCACGCCCTTTGGAGACTCTCGGTGGAGACCCCAACACCAATTTTTAATTGATTTTTTTTTTTTTGGTCCTCGTAGCGGTGGAACAGTTGCGAGTCCACGTCCGGCGACACAAAGGGATGCGGAAGTTTGAGTGCACGGAATGTGGATACAAATTCACACGGCAGGTATTGTGTGTGTGTGTGTGTGTGTATGTGTTCCTTTTTTGCCTTCTTATCGGTTCGAGGCAGGGAGGAGTCCTCTCAAACCTCCCGTGTCCCTAAGCCCTTAGCTAAAAAAGTTATCCTCTGACGACCTCTGAGGCCCCTTCCAGTCGTATTAATTGGGTCCTGAAGGTGACACTTGAGGTGGTTGGAATTTAGGGACCTTCCTTGCCCCGGAAGCCTGTTTGACTTCCTCGCTGTCTCTCTCTCTCTCTCTCTCTCCTCCGCCAGGCTCACCTGAGACGCCACATGGAAATCCACGACCGGGTGAAGAATTACAACCCTCGCCAGAGGAAGCTACGCAACCTGGTCATCGAGGACGAGAAAGTGGTGGTTGTGGCTCTGCAGGCCCCCAACGTCCTGGAGGTGGGCTCTGCGGAGGTGATTGTGGAGGCCCTGGCCCAGAGCGCCGCCCCCAGCGTGGATCTCTCGGCCGGACAGAGACTCTGCCCCGCCGAGAATTTGGGCCCCGCCGAAGTCACGGAACAGACCTTCCTCATAACTATCCCGAACAATTGCGGGATGTAGCGGGGTGCTCCCCATAATAAACGATTAACCAAGCGTTTTGTCTGGAATGGCCATGGGGCCTCCCCCTTTGGGCAGGGGGTTGGACTAGACGACCTCTGAGGCTCCTCCCAATGTTGTTAATTCTGTCATCCCGGATCGATTAACTTGCCTCTAGAAGTTGTTGATGCTCCACCTCCGGAGGCTTTTAAGAAGAAACTGGAAATTGTGAATTTTCACCCAGCGGGGATGGGATTTAGACCCCTCCGTGCAAAACACATCCCCTCTGCGGTCTCTCTCTCTCTTTTCTCTCCTCTCCCTCTCTCTCTCTCTCTCTCCCATCTCCCTCTCTCGCTTTCCTCAATCAGATTCCGGCAGAGTCAACAAACACATTTCTTTTATTTGGCACGTTTCAAGTTCTTTCAAAGGAAAGCTTTACCAAAAACCAGACTATTCTTTGCTTCGAAGGAAAAAGAAATCTACAGTACGTTAGGCCAAGTGCAAGGACTACATTTAAAACGTTCAATAAATACAAAAAAAGGAACGGAGATTGCGAACTCTTCCCATTCTTTTGAAATTATTCTCATACATTGGAAGGGATTAAAAGCAGAACCACGCGAAACGGCCACGGCCGCCCGGAAAAACTAGCCCGTCTTTAAATAGCGATAGTCCTCGACTTAATGACTGATGGACCCCGCCCTCAGAATACAAGTAAATACGAGTCGGGCCGAGCGTCCGGATTTTGAACACGGGTTCACGGGGGAATGCTACAAGCGGTCGTAAGTAAACGGGCCATAAGCCGCTTTTTTTGAGTGCCCTTGTAACTTTGAACAGTCACTAAGCGAAGCATTGTAAGTCAAGGACTATCTGGAGGTTTTCTTTTCTTTTTTTTTTAGCAATTGCAGAGTTGCAGTGGGTAAAACGGAGAACGAAGCAGCAACGCAAGAAGGAAATCATTCCCCCCCGCCCTGCGTTGCTGCTTCGGTCTCTGTGTTTTCATCCATTCTGGGTCAGTGCATAGAAACTAAAAAGTCTATAAAAATATCCTTTTCTCCCATCGTAGAGATTACAGGCCATGGGGAATAGTCTTTAAAAAAAAAACTACAAAAGGTAATCGTTTATTTTTCCCAAGATGCTAGTCCTCTTGAGGAATGAATGCCAGAGGTAGGGTGTCAATTCAGCCTTTTTTTTCTTTTTAAAGCAACTTTAAAAATCCCTTAATTTGGTAAATTTAAAATGTCTTTTTTTCCTGCCAAAGTTTAACAAGTGGGGAAAAACAAGCTGAAATAATTTCTGAGTGGATCAATACGGAAGGGCACCACATTGGCTTGGTTGCCATTTTGCTAAAGCGGAAGTTGGTTTAGTTGTGGTTTATTGAATGGACTGTTGCCTGGGTAAAGAAAGCCAGGCTGGTACGAAACACACCGTGAATGAAATTAACCAGGATTATCCTACCTGGAAGAAGGGAATTTGCTGGGGATATCCCCTTGCCCTGCAGAGGATCCACAAACCATATTCGCGTTTTTTTAATTTTGCAAAAAATCCACTCCTAAAATGCAATCGATCGGTCCTTGTGACGCCACATAGGGCAAAAAATCAAGGCTCCCCCCTCAATCTAAGGCACACCCAAAATGGGGTTCAGTTGAGCCAACTGGCACACACAGGCTTTTCTGTTCACACATCCTGCACGGCAGCTCAATTCCAGCTGGCGCGCCTTATAACCATCATTCATGGTTTATGACCCAAGCATTAACACGAGGCTTTCCTTTCGCCTCCAAGGCACACTGGCTCAATGTGCAATTTCTTCCAGGAAAATCAAAATATTACGGCCTCTCTCTCTCTCTCCAGATGCAGAATGGCAGAAATGTAAATGGGGGTGGGGTGGGCACCGTAAAGGACATCCAGTCCAACCCCGTCACTCAGTGCGAGGACAGGCAACACGATCCATTCCCCCCACTCACCCCTAGCAAATACCAAGGAATGGATGGCATGCCATGTCGAAAGACGGAATCTCTGGTCAACCTGACTGGGTGACGACAGACAAGCAGAACCTAGGAAGGATCCCCTTGAGGTCATCCATCCCAACCCCAGGGGAGGGAAAATATCATTTTTAGAGGATTTTTTTGTTTTTACCAGTAAAGAAAACTTGACTTATGAATTCTGTCCAAGGCCAAGAAAGGGGAATGGACACGTTCTGGCTTGGCTTTGCACCCCAGGCCGCATTTCTGACCCTTCTCACATGGAAGACCTTCCCTTCATGGCTCCCCCCACTCTTCCACCCCCGTGCCTGAACCCCAAAACCTCTGCCCACCCTCCACCCCCAATTAATCGTTCAGGAACCACCCTGCAATGCCACCCCGTTCCCGCATTCGCCAAAGAGGAGATTGGCGGAACTGCTAGGACAGGACCAAGTGTGCCAACCCACTTCGGCAACGGGGTGCCCTCTGCCTTCTAACCCCGAGGGGTCCCACCGGACCACCGACAAACCACAACAGCCGACGACCCCTCGAGCCCCTTAACGCAGCTCCTGCAGGTCTTGTCGCGGAGGGTTGGGGGCGAAGGGGTCTTCCAGAGCCCGCTTCTCCTCCTCTTCCTCCAGAGCCGTTGGCATGAACTGACGGAAGATACTGACACTGTTGTGCCAAAAAATGGGCTCCGGCAATTGGCCGGCCACGCTCCATTTCCGGGTCTCGGGATCGTACGATTCAATCGTGCTGGAGAGTTCAAAAGTATTGTCGTAACCGCCGGAGACGTAAAGTTTGCCTCCTAGGACGGCCAAGCTTCCTCCGACGTGCACCTAGAATGGAGGGAAGGAAAGAAAACGCGCCAAAATTATAATTGATGACAATTGGTTGCATGGTCAGCCAGATGTTCAGACTGGACCTGGTGTTCTTATCCAGCTGTTGAGTCCGTCCCAAGGATGTGGGAAGAGACAGGCATGATTGACAACGAATTTTGTCGTGGGATTTAAGCTGTTCCAAGCCAAGCTGCCTTTCGCAATTGACTGATGGGGATTTTGTCAATGCCAATGGTTATTAGGAGGGGCGGTCGCACAATCAGCCAGAGTGGATTTGACAATTTTGATCATTATCGAGTCCGTCCCAAGGGCCTGGGATAGACAGAGGTTGCTGTTTGATGCTGTTAAAGTTAATTCTGAGAACTGAAGCCCGCTCCTCTTAAATTTGCAAGACCCCCTACCTACCTGGAGCATCGGAGGGATTTTGTCCCATTGATTCTTGGTGGGGTTGTAGACATCCACTTCAGCTGAGTCGTCTCTGCAGGAGAAGAAAAAGAATAGATAATAATAATTATTAATGGCTAAGGCGGGACTAGAACTCGCCGTCTCCTGATTTCTAGCCTGACGCCCTAAACACAACACCCAACTGGCTCTCGTACCCGAATATCCTTGTTATTAATCTTAGATTTTAGGGTGTTATCAAGCAGAGCTTCAGATTTCTTGACGGAAAGGAAACCTTTTTTGCAAGTTTGCCCCGCTTAATATCCCTAGAGATCAGTCTGCTTACGAAACACCCCCAAATGCACCCTGCGCAAAATCAGCCCTGCTCTGCCTGTTCCTCGTTTTACCCAGAACCTTCCAGAAGAGTTGTCGGCCAGGAGTTGTGAGTTAAGCACAGTGTGTTCCTTTGGCCGGCTCCAGTTGTGAAACGCCAAGTGTGACAGCAACAGGTGCGACCCAGGAATTGGGGGGGGGGGGGGAGAGGGGGGGGAGGGAGAAAAAAAAAATTGTTTGGTCACCTCCACGCCGGAGACACAAACCTATTGGAGCTGCCACAAACAGGAGGCCAAAATTAGAGGTGGCCCTTCACTGATGACCACAACGGAGTCGCACCATTTCTGCTGGTAAGTTGAGACGTTCGTTCAGTGGACATTACGACTTCTTTAGCCACGGTTGCTAAGCGAATCCCTGCAGCTCTTAAGCTAGTAACATGGTTGTCAAGCAGCATCCCGCGGATGCTGCTTGTCGGAAGGTGGCCAGAGGGAAATCGCGTGACACGGCGACGTCATAAATACGAGTTGGCCAGTTGTCTGGATTTTAATCACCCGGTCGTGACGTCCCTAAGTGTGAAAAGTCCCTTTTTTCCAGTGCTGTTGTAACTTTGGATGGTCATTAAATGAACGTTTGTAAGTCTATTTTTAAATAATAATAATAATAATAATAATAATAATAATAATAATAATAATAA